TGACCACCTAATGGCAGCCGTGACGGGGTAACATTGACCGGCTTGGAAATTAAGTTAAAATTACCATAGGTACCTACATAAGATATTTTATGTTTGATACACCTATTAATGTTTTTTCTTTATGTTTCAGACTCTACAGAATCTTATATATGGTAATTTTAACTTAATTTCCAAGCCGGTCAATGTTACCCCGTCATGGCTGCCATTAGGTGGTCACATTTTGCCCATTAAGGGGTGGTGCCCCCAATTTGCAAACTATGACACTTTCCTAAAATTTGTCATTTGCATATGTAACTAGAAGAGTTCTGCTACAATGCACCAAAACCTGGAGTTATTTGGAGCTATTTTACCAAAAAATAAAATTGATTTTACCACCCAGTAAAAGAAACCTCCAGAGCTGGGGTAAAAAAGACCATCAATTTTTTTTTAAATTACATCAAAACTATGAGAGGCAGGAGCCAGCAATTTATGGTGAGTGAAGCTTTGCATGTTTCAGCCTGTATTTTGCATGTTTCAATTTAAGTTAAACTAATTTAGTAAAAAAATGGCATCATTTTGAAAAAAAAAATGGTCAAAGTTACCCCATTTTACGGTAATTGATATCATTTTTAATGAGTGTTCTTCAAAATTGTAGTAATAGAAGAGTAATTTAAGACTGTAGCTTTTCCCTGTTGGTGAAATTTCATGGTTTCATTTTCTTTCAGCACTCAGCTCCATATATGACTGACATGGTCACACCCATAGTTGGCTGCCTGACTGACCAAAACGCCAATGTTCGTTATGCTGCTGCCGAGTCTTTGTACAACGTTGTACGAGTGGCGCGCCAACATATCTTTCTTGTCTTTGAGGAGCTCTTTAGTGCCTTAACTGTTCTGATCACAGACCCAGACAACCATGTGAGGGTTGGTGCTGGTATGCTGGACACCACAATGAAGGTCAGATGCTAAAACTTTCAAAGCTCTTTCAGCATAGGCGAACTGCCTCTTTTTAGTACCCATTCTTAGCTTACTGAATATTTAACCTAAAAAATTATCAAAGCATAGAGTATTTTTCCATGCATTGAGTGTAGGTATGTGTATGCAAGTGTTGTATTGATCAACTTTGTCACTGTAAATGAAAAGTAACTGCCTCTTCTAGTACCCATTGCTATCTTGTTGAACAATTTAGAAATGATGCTAGTATCATGACAATCCAATTTTGAATTGCTTCCATGCTTCCAAGAAAGTCAATGAAAAAATTATGTAAGTATAAATATTCATGGGAACGCTGTGAATAACACATCATGTGAGAAAATTAGACTGTAATAACTGCAAGTTTGAATTTTCATGTAGACATTAAGTGATTAAAATTAGATGAATTGAATACAAATCTACAGCTGGTCTACTTCAGTAGCAAAACATTAAAATGCAGTATTTATAAAAGCCTGCTTCAATCATTCATTAGGTATACTGAATAATTGAATCCCTCTTATTTCTTGATTAGCCTAAACTCATTGCATCTTTTTGACAGGAAGTCTTGAAGGAGTGCAGCTGTTCTCTTGAACTATGTTTGCTCATCGCGGTGATCAGACCTAAGCTCACTACCACCAACTGCACTGTGCAAGTAAGTGGTTGCTCTTCTACCGTGCTTGTGATTGAGCACTTAGGCTGTGAATAGAGCCCGGGAACTCATATTAGGAGCAATATTGCTTTATGAGGCCGATACAATAAAGTAAACTGTGTTTCGGTAGTTATTCGTTGCACTCGTAATATTGTCGGGTGATAAGTAGCCTCGAATTTTATATTTCCTGATGTACTTGTGGTTGCGTGATAATCTTTGTACAAGATAAGAACGGTCGTACCTAGCTTTTAATACAAATAGTAATTTTAAATTAAATCTTTGGTAGAGGGTAGTTGAGTGACGCCGACCTATTATCTAAAATTTCAAATTCATTTTTGCTTCACTCCACGGAAGAAAATTGTTTTCCAGGTGGTCTAAATAAAGCTTATACAAGGTATATAATTTTTTACTTTGGCAGCCTTATATGCTTTTTAAAATTAAATTAGTTCCTGTTTTCATGTTGTAGGTGTTGCTTGTGTCATGGCTGTCTCTGCTTCAAAGCATTCCATCCTTGGAGCTGGTCCCTGTCCTCACTGAAATTCTTGATCCCCTCATGAACATCCTGTCCTCGAAACACAGCGAGGTCATCAAAGAGTAAGTCTCCTATAGTCACCTTAATTATTATATTTAACTTTAGTCACTTTGATTCAGACTTCATCCCTTCAATTTATATTATTCTGTATGCAATCTTGTCTCGATGTGTTTCTTATGGTTTTAATTAAAATAGGAAATTAACCGGAAAATATTTGAATGATGATTTGTACAAGAAGTGTAGGTAAATACCAAGATGTTGAGGCAAGTAATGGTATTTCATTACCCATGAATCTGTTGCGGATTGTGGCTCTATTGAAATTTTCTTTGTTTACATGAAATGTAATTTTTATAATTTCCAGCTTGCTGTAACAGACTTTGATTTAGGATGCACTCTGAAGTCTTGGTGGTTACAGAGCTGACGCACTCCTCGTTTCTCTGTTGGAGAGCTGCCACCATGACGCTGAAGCTGTCGACAGCCTGAGCCTGACTCCTGTGCTGCTGCAGCATGCGCAGTCTGATAACTTGTCGGCACAGGCAAGATTTTATTCAAGCCCTTTGACCTCAGTCGAGGATTTCTTCCGGATTTCAGAAGAGAACAAAAACTAAACATAGATAAATATTGGAATTGTCAAATAATTAATGGGTTTATTTAATTTTTGTATTGTATGTGATGGTATTATTTAGGTTATCTATTCTCGTCAAGCACCAAAAATATTTAGTAACAAATTGCTATATTATTTGTCAATGTTATGTTTACAAAAATATTAAATTTAGTACCGATGGTAATGATAAGTCTCATGTCGAACTTTTCGTGAGAGAATATTTCTTTAGTTATTTATGTTTATGTATCCTGTTGTTATATATTTATGTTTTATTATATATTAATATCTCTTTCCAGGGCATTTGCCCTGTTTTACTATTGGTTGCCAGTTGCCATGAATGCAAGTGATGTGTTGCAGTACATGTCCCTGTCTTGGCTGAACGAACTGCTGGCGCTGGGAGGACGATCTCTCCTACCTTACGCCGCACCGATCCTCGCAGCCTCGCTACCCTGCATTGAAGAGGCGTCCTCGTCCAACAGTACGGCCAGGCGCTGGGAATTTACCTTTCTGCTACATCAACACTGGATCTACTTAGGCAGTTTAGATTCTGCTACGTCAACACTAAATCAATTTAGGCAGTGTAGATTCTGTTTCATCAACACTGGATCTGCTTGGGCAGTTTAGATTCTGCTACGTCAACTCTGGATCAACTTAGGCAGTTTAGATTCTGCTACGTCAACACTGCATCCACTTAGGCAGTTTAGATTCTGCTACATCAACACTGGATCAACTTAGGCAGTTTAGATTCTGCTACGTCAACACTGGATCTACTTAGGCACTTTAGATTCTGCTACATCAACACTGGATCAACTTAGGCAGTTTAGATTCTGCTACATCAACACTGGATCTACTTAAGCACTTTAGATTCTGCTACATCAACACTGGATCAACATAGGCAGTTTAGATTCTGCTACATCAACTCTGGATCTACTTAGGCACTTTAGATTCTGCTACATCAACACTGGATCAACTTAGGCAGTTTAGATTCTGCTACATCAACACTGGATCCACTTAGGCAGTTTGGATTCTGCTACATCAATACTGGATCAACTTAGGCAGTTTAGATTCTGCTACATTAACTCTGGATCTACTTAGGCAGTTCAGATTCTGCTACATCAACACTGGATCAACTTAGGCAGTTTAGATTCTGTTACATTAACACTGGATCAACTTAGGCAGTTTAGATTCTGTTACATTAACACTGAATCAACTTAGGCAGTTTAGAAAAACGCTATGAATACGTATATCGGTAAATATGTTTGTCAATAAAACTTCTGCTATCCTCGTCCAACAGTACGGCCAGGCGCTGGGAATTATTTTTCTGCTTTTATTTTTTAATTATTTTTCTGCTTATCAACACTGGATCTGCTTAGGCAGTTTAGATTCTGCTACATCAACACTGGATCAACTTAGGCAGTTTAGAAACACGCTATGAATATATCAGTATATATGTTTATATGAATAAAATTTCAGCTTTATATTGAATCACTTGTCAATAAGAGCTGGGGCTATTAATGATTATTATATCAAAATTACAATTCGTTAGAGTAGAATTCCTCCTATGGGAAAGTGCGCAATTATTAAACATGTTCTTAAGTTTACACAAGATTAGTTATCTTTTTCTATAATATTTTTGTTGATATAATAGGTACAACTTTTATATTAATCAGCTAATCGTATGGTCCAATATTGTAAGTTTTTATTTGTTTAAATACCTAATTTTGTGAACGTTAATTATAAATACGCAATAAGTGTTTTTCACATCATGTTTTTTTATCACAGAAACCAAAGATGTGGCTAAAAAAGTTAGTGGAAAGGTTATGACTTTATTGGTGGCGGAAGACGATGATCAAACTACAGGTAAGGAATATTTCATGATTTCTTTACTATTGTTTCAGAACATCTTTGATGCTTCATATATTTTCTTGTCAGCAACTGAGTTTATTTTGATGTTTTTGTAGGGGGCGAGAGGGATGGAAATAAATTGCTGCCGTCTTTTTAATGATTTCTCTATATATATTTTTACATTTTTAATTCATTGTTTCTTTATCCATGACATAGGTGTTGAAATTAGCATTTAATACAAGGCAATGTTTTGCATATCTAATTTTTAGCGCATTTTCTCATTTATGGAAAAAATGCACTATTGTGCTCGCCATGTCCGTCCGTCCGTCTGTCCGTGACCTCAAGTTTTCGTTGCCGAGAAAATGCGCTCTCTGTCACTCACTGCAGTGAGTACTGAGTTATATTTTTTCTTCCTGCCGCCAGGTGGTGCAAATAAAGCTGTCACTGAAGCTCCTGTGGACCTGCAGTCCATTGTGGTGGAGTTGCTCAAGCATCTGAGAGGTGACCACGATGAGTGCAAATTTTTAATACTGCGCTGGCTGGGTTACTTGATGCAGCTCTTTCCCAGCATGGTGAGAACTACGACGTTATCTTTTAACTAAACATCATGACATCATCTTTAACTAAAAATAACAACCGTATTTTTTCCTTATATTATGACATTTTCTTAAACTATTAGGATGCATGAGGATTGACTACGTTTTCCATTAATGCGATTGCTGATGAGCTCACCCATGCTTCAAAGCAACGAATAATTTCTTGATTATTATATTGTGCCGGGGCATGACTGCGCAAACCGCGTGTCAGTTGCCAATATTGCAGAAAATAAACTAGAAACGAGTTGCCCAACGCCTCTGCGTGATGTGCTAGTACCGTTTTGTTTGTGCAGATTGTCTTCCGTATATAATATTTATTTTTCCATGTTCCGAAGCCCAAAATTCGGAAAATGTTTGAGACTATTATTGTTCAAATTAAATGATAATTCTTTATTATATTCCAGTGAAAAGGTGATATTTTTTCACATTAGAACCTGAGAGCATTTCCGCGCAAGTTTGTGTTGTATAAAATTCGCGGGTAGGATGATGACAAATTGTGTCTACCTGTGCTGTAAATATGAATAATTATTTATTCGAATGCATATTGCATCTAAATGTTTACAGATGCAAGGAGAACTGGAACGAATCTGCAGGGCATTACTACCCGTATTGAGAGACCGGTCAGATGTGGTGGTCAGTAGAGTGCTGGTGTTAATGTCAACTCTTGCTGTTGCACCAAAAGGCGATCTACCTCTTGAGAGTGGGTCTAGACAGATATAAGTAATTATAAACTTCCAGCGTTATTTTAAACTGCGCTTTGTCCCTAGAATTTATGGCTTAAACTCGTAAATATTCTGATTTTGAAATGTTGATTTGCAACTTCATGTTCACTCGTGTTCATTATGTTCCAAGATATGGTTTACATAAATGACAGAAAAGTCAATTAAATGTTCTTATTGTATAGACGGAAATTTTTCCCGGCAATGTCAGGTGGAGACTCGCCTCCTCATTTAGATCACGTGCTCGAGTTACTCATGGAAGCTTTTGGTTCGGACCGCCAGCTGCTGGATGAGAGAGGCCAGTTGATCCTCAGGTGAGCTTTGCTAAGCATCAGGACTCTTTTTAGCGTATTTTCTCATTTATGGATAAAATGCGCTATTGTGCTCGTCATGTCCATCCGTCCGTGACTTCACGGACGGATGAGAAAATGCGCTCTCTGTCACTCACTGCAGTGAGTACTGATCCAATTTTTTTTAATTTTTGAGATTAGGCAACTTGATTTGGATGCAGTTACCTAATTAAAACCATTAGAAAATGTGTTAATCGACACTGTCTAAATCAATTGTTGGAAGTAACAAATGAAGATGTCAAAAATGTATTAAAATGTAGTCCTGTATGATTCCGTAGATATACCCGGAAGTTCAGTTTACCGAGTCAGGAGATTTGTATTCCTTGCATCACATAATTATCTGTGTTTGCGTTGATGGCAGGCAGTTATGTGTGCTACTGAGCCCCACGCAGGTCTTTGTGCGCATCAGCAAATTGTTGCAAAAAGGCATCAAGACACAAAATGCAGACTTCCACAATATGATGGCGCACACCATGGCAACGATTCTCATCACGAGCAAAGAACTTTTTCCAATGCGTCTTCAACTCAGAAAGCTCGAAACGAAGGTAATTAATTACAAAGACAGGCTTCATATTTGTCTGCCAATATAATTTTCTCCTCAGGTTGAGGAAGAAATAACCCGCTCAACGTTTCCTTATTTTCGAATTACAGTTAACTTTATTTTGTAATACGACCTTTCCAAAAATCATTAGAAAGGACGAGTGATAATTTCTAATTGTAGATGTCATTAATTTTCAATACCGTAATAAATCTTTCCTCTTCCCCATCCCCAGGAATGGTGTGATGTTTTTGAATCGCTCTTTAAATGCTGGTGCCATAATCCTTTCAGCGTCATTCTTCTTTGCCTTCTAAGTCAAAATTACGAGCAGTCCGCTCAGCTCGTCGCTCTGCTGGGTGACGGAGAAGTCACGGTCGACTTTCTTGTTGAAGTCGACAAGCTTGTGCAGCTGCTCGAGTCACCCATATTTACGTGTGAGTGTATTAGTCGTTAGTCTACTTATTTAGTGGCTTTATTTTTGAGGATGACTTATTACTTCGTCTTAAATGTTGTGCAACCTGAATGATGGCTTCTTGTATTGAATTTCTTAAATAACGAATCTTCTGTCCAGCATTTTTTGTTTGCTGAAGTTACTTCGCGTGGTTTATAAAGCCTACATTCACTTGCTATTGACAGAAAATACTTTAAATTATAGCCGATCTGTTTAACATGGTCTACTCTCTTTTAATGAGATTTCATCTTCATCAATATTCAGTCATAAATCACTTATAAATCAAGACATGATGTATTTTTGTTGTTTTGTTTTCAGGTTTTGGTTTTGTTGTTTTCAGATCTGCGTCTGGATTTGTTGAAGGGCGATGACTCGAGCGATGCCCTGCTGGAGACGTTGTATGGGCTTCTCATGATATTGCCGCAAAGTTCAAGCTACACGAAGCTAGCGACCCGCCTCAGCAATTTACCTTCCCCACAGTTGAAGAAGCCCACCTTGCGGAGACCTCCTAACCAAATAGACTTCGACGAACTAATTAAGTATTTTAAGTCTTTGCATGAGAAGAAACGGGAAGATAAACTTGTAGCTCTTGTGGCTGAGCTGCGCAGCCTGGCCAATAATGGCGACCTGTTGCAAGAACAACAAGGCCATTCGTTAGCGTCGTAGTTGCGGCTTATTTTTCAACCTTCTACATTCCTTGAGTTTGCCAGTACTTTTTATTCTTGGAACTAATCCATTGTGGTGCCGTGGCGAAAATGACGGTCCTCACTTTTACTTGCTATGTATTCTGTCCAATATTACACGACGCTTTATTTATTCGTTTATGTTACCATTTTACTGATCTTCTATTAGCTAAAGCTCAGCTTTTTAAGTCGGTATTTTAAAGCCTTTGCTCCATTTAATGCCATGAAAGATTACGGTACTTTTAATTTTGTGTTACCATTTCAAATCTGTCTGTTCATGAATTTTTCACTTATTAAGATCTCTAAAAAAATTATCGAAACTTGGCATCCGAAGCCTGGATTGAATTCTGGCATTCAAATTAATAATTCCTGTTTTTTATGTGCGCTGATATTGGGTTTAATCATTCTCTGCTTGTAGGACGAGATATTATTATTATATCTTCCTTCGCCTTAATATATTTGAGCTTCTTTATTTAGAAAAATTTCTGAATTCTTCACTCATGTATTTCCTTAATTATTGTGTAACCATCATCTTTGATCCTTACGCTTGGTATGCGTTTGGTTAGACGCTCGTGCATCAATAGCAGTTCGGTTTATCCGCCTTGAATCTGCTACTGTCTGCGTTTAGAAATTAAGCAATAAACGTTTTCTTAAAGATCTCCTTTTATCGAAGCAGAAAAAGAATGAAGAGTTTAGCTAACTTTTCTGTATTTATATCTCGAAATAAGTTCTGTATTTATTGATGAGCCCAAATTCTCTCTTGAATATGGATTTATTTGTTTATGTATAAATATTTTTTGGTATTCATGTTGAATTTTTCACATTCTATTGCCTTAATTTTTTGCACAATATACATGGCCTCCCAAAATTTTATTTGTGAATTCATTTTTGAACGTCGATAAGATGCTAAATTATTGTTCACTCATAAAAATTTTTTTTCACTTACTATCTCGGGCCTGTGACCTATGGCTTTTTAAAATAATGATGTTATACTGTCAATGAGGCACCTGTTATGCAAGTTATGATATATCAAGTAAACATATATGTGATCCCTCAGTCTTACACGCGGGTGACGTTTTCATGCGCCGTCTCTAAAGCATTCAATGATTCTTCATTCTATTGAGGTTTAATCCTTTGCCTACGGATATATTAACAATGGTGAATGATTTTTGTACATAAAGACGCTGGGTGTCCAGCAGCTACAGTTTCGAGTACCAAGATTGGAGCAGAGGTGCGGGTTCAATCCTAGCTCTGTGCGCTAACTTTTGGTTAGAATCACAGCAACATTGAGGCAGTGAGTTGCGTGTTCGAAACCGCAACAAGCTGTTAAATGATCTATGTTAAGAATGGCGACATCTATGATTTTATTTCTGATGTCTTTGCTATATTTGTTTCTAAAGCCCTGTTCAATATTTGAACATTGTGAACCGCGCGGTGATAACCAGAATCGCTTGGCGCTAGTAGAATGACAAGTCTCGGAAATTGCAAGACTCACCAGGAATTAAGTGGGCCCTCAAGTATTCCATCCAACGAATGAATGCTAAATGTCCTCAATTCTCGGCTTGCCACCAACTAACCAGTTTCTTAATTTTATGTTTTTCAATTGTAACAAAAGATTTTTTAATGCTATTTCAAATCAATGTTAACCCAATTTTCAACTAATGAATTGATCAATTTAATTTTGAAACGTAGTAAAAAAACATTGATAATTGGAAGATTAATCGATGCAATTTCGTTTCAATCGATTTTATTCAGAATTTGGCCAGAAAGTAACAATGAACATTATTGAATTTTTTGAAACAAATTTTGGTTTGCCACACGTGCCTGGTGATAACGTTGCGCAATGAATCTGTAGTGAGACGGCGTTGGGTGTGGTCTCGGGGACGGGCTGGTGATGTGCTTTATTTCATGATTGTGCCGATGATGTAGAACGGCGAATCTAACGAAGTAACGATGATTTTCCACCCACCGCTTCACATCATGAGACTACTGCGAACCTGGACAGCAATCGTTAATAGAGAGAAGAATTAAATAACTCGGTGAATACTTGAACTGAATAACCATTACGCTTACGGCATTGCCGACTGCCGAGTCAAGGCGTTGCAAGGGGTCAACGTGCGACTTCTTCAACTTCAACGGTTCAACCCGCCAACAACAACGTTACGAATTACGATTATGCCGATCTGAAATTATGTATACTAGTATACATAACTTAACCATAAGTCAACTAAGACAGAACCATTGTGGCAAATTTTTTTTATAGAATCACTTCATTTATAATTTTCGTATATACCTAGGGTAAACGCGGTATATTCCGACATCGTAGGTAATTCCGTCACATCTCCAGCTTTTCCTTTATATTAAGCTTTGTTTTAGTTCCATGCGTTTGTTGATGGTTGAAATGGTGACGTCATGCATTTGAGAGTCAAAATACTGCCAAAACACTAGGTCTTGGTCATAGTGACAAACCAGAGATTTTTTGGAATCGGTTCATTTTTAATTTCTCATTTACCCAAGATTTAAACCAATTTCTTATGTATGATGATGCTGGTATCCAGGATACTTTACTGGTCTACTTATAGGACTCAAAACTGATCTTGACTCTTGAGGGAGAGTCTAAAAAACTCTCTGCTTTGCCACTATGGACTCTTGGCCATCTAGTGGGAAAATATTGAGATCCAAAGAGAGACAATGCATGCCACGTGGTGAGATCATCGAAAAATGTGTCAAATTTGACAGTTGACATGGCTCTACCAAATAATGAATAACTGTTTTTATAGGAAGAATATTATGGTTTGAAACTTTTAAATACGTCTGTGAATATATTAGGAATCCTTTAAGTATACCTGTATTCGCTGATTTCAAGTCGTAAATAAATTAATAGATGATTAAGTTGAGATGTTGGATTTAGACACATCATGTAGTGTTCAATATTCGTTAGACGGTTAGTGTTCTAATTCAAAGCCGTGTTGTATCCCAATACAGCTCACACAGCAAACAGAATTCGAACACGTGGATGTCGGCAATACGTATCAGTTCAATTTGAAGCGCTGACGCAATACGACTGTCGAATATTGCTACACAAAGTGACGGAATATAGGGATTTGGTAGGTTTCCATAAAAGTAAGAAGTATTATACAATATATTTATTTCTATGAATTTTTGCAAATTTTGCCTATTGAAGGTTTAAATTGCACTTGAAGAATTCAATAAATGCGATCCATAGTGGCAAAGCAGATAGTTTTTAGACTCCCCTTCAAGTTCAATTTTAAGTCATATAAGTAGACCAGCAAAGTATCATGGATACCAACATCATCATACATAAGATTATTTTTAAGATATTGTTTAAATCTTGAAGAAATGAGAAAATTAAAATTGAACTGATTCTAAAAAATAATTAGTTTGCCACTATGATGCGATCAGTAGGTACACAAAATTTTTCTTTATAATCAAAATTCAGTTTATGCAAATGAAAAATTAGAAACATGAAAATTTAATTTAATTAAATTTAACCAAGTTGCCAAAATAAATAAATATATATATTGATCCTTCCAAATTTTGAAGAAAATGCGGAAAGAGCGTCAATTCCATTGTCCGAGTCAAAACCTTCATTTAAATGCTCATAGGTATTTCAATTTGTGGACTTTGCAGCTTGTGATGCTATAGATAGAACGATGGTCAGATAATTAGTGATTGACTGAGGCATTATAAGGATGCCTCAAAAATAAACAGGAAGCCATGGTGAGGCTTTTTGTGACGTGATTTCAAGTGATCATATATGGTAACTTACCCGTGATTGGGCCGTGAAAGGGTTAATGTGTATTGTACTTGACTTTTGACTGTGCTTGTGCAGTTGTGGTTCCATTTATGATTTTTGCTGGAAAATCAGTTAATCAGACAGTCAGATGCCACCTATAAATTGAATAAAGCAATTGCAAAACTGGCCAATAATCACCCAAGCGGGCCAAGGCAGGTGCAGAAAATAAATATAGTCAAATGGGGTAAGACAGGATCGCAGGCTTCATGGGGTAAGAAAGGACCAGCCTATGGCATGCATTCTAATTGCACTGAATTTAATTTGACAAAAGAATATGTTAGAGCAATCATTGCCTGTCATTTCAGTGTTTGTTTCAAACCTCTTCTGCAAATAATGAATTTCTGGCTAATTTTTAACCAAATGTGATGAATTTTTAACCAAAGAAGGGTCACAAAATAGTTAACTCTGTTTGGGAAATAAGCTCTGTCTAATAACAAAAAAATTTTTGGCCAGGTTTGTGGATGTATGCAGGTAACCTCAACTAACAAGCAACTTTTGAGACATACTAGGCATTTCTACCTGCTACCATCACTGCCTGACATGTATTCTAAGATGGGGTAAAAAAGGACTGGACATGGGGTAAGACAGGACCACTAAATGATCCTGTTTTACCTCACAAGCGGTCCTATCTTACCCCACAAATGGTCCTGTCTTACCTCACAAATGGTCCTCTCTTATCCTACAGTTTAAATAGGGATGTCTATTCCCATAAGTGAGCTGCAGAACTATGTTCAACTGCCATCATTGTGTGAGACATGAAAAATAATTATGATCACAACTCTGTGAGAGGGCATGAGCTATGTTTGATGAAGTGCACCACAAATGCAGTTAGCAAGAAAACACATGATGTCTGGGTCTGACACTTAGTTATTAACTTATTATACATTGCTTTTATTACCAATTTGATAAATTTTTCAGACAATGACACTAATGGAATATACATGAAGCATTTTGCAGTGCTCTACAATGAACCAAAGCCAACCCACTATTACTATGCTTAACAAAGTTTTCTCGTGACAAAAACTTCAATGTGACTGATATTAGAGTTGACTTCC